GTTCATCTCCAATTTATCTGTATTTATTTAAAACTAGCAATTTATGATTTATTGGCGAACAATGATCAGCACACCCATGCATTGTTTTGAGCAAACTTTAATTCAGTTCAGGTTTTAAGGGGTGCCACCTCACACCAGTCAGCTTACAATATTCACACATTCAAAGGGAGAACACGCAAACTTCATGCAAAATTGACCATAAGACCTTCTTGTAATGGGGAACAGTTCTAACCAGCTACAGTGCAGTCCAGGTTATCAAGACCACCTCCAGAAAATTGTAAAAAGGGAGCAAAATGGGTGTGGGGCAACTTATTATTTCGAGGTGGCACAACAAAGTGAAATGTCCCAGCAGAATTTCAAAGTTTTGTGTTGCCAAATATAGCCTGTTTGAAAATTTATTGCAATACATGAGTTAAGGAAATACCATCTAATTTGGGCCTCCTTCAGTGTTTTACTTTATTGTTGGTAACTGCTCAKTTCATTCTCTTCTAAATTCATATTTTAATTAAAAAACACTTTACTGTATCATGTTTACCTGTAGGTAACTCAAACTTGTAGTTATTTAAAAATGCATATCACCTGCCAMCAAAGTTTAAAACAAAGYTCTTGTCAGAAAATTTAGTGCTCACACTGTTACAACAAATGTTTAGCTCATATCTTTAAAACTGACAGAGCTGTAGCCATTTTTGTGTTTGTTAAAGGTAATTAGCTATGTTATCCATTCAAAATGTATTCTAATGTAGATGTAGGTGTTGTCGCTGATTACTTTTTGAATCATTTTTAAAAAATCTTTCCCGTGGTTTGTGAAATATTTTGCTAAAAAAACATTGGCTGGGGAGAAGCAAATTTACAGGGTGGGTCATTGCCCTCCCTGGTCCCCCACTTGGTGGCGCCCCTGCAGTTTTGGTACTTGGAATCTTTTTCACTACAGAGCAGTTCATGTTACTAATGTTGTAGTAACTGAGGGCTCAGATGTTACATATTGATTTCCAGCTTTGTTTCTTGAATTTAAATAATTTGTGGAGATAGCAATACATACATACATACATACATACATACATACATACATACATACATACATACATACATACATACATACATACATACATACATACATACATACATA